TCCAAGTTTTAGTTTCGAGAAATCTGTAGCCAATCAACGTGCAGCTATTCCATAAAAGCTGCAAGTTGATTGGCTATACATTTTTCGAAACTAGAACTTGGACCAAGTTCTAGCATCGTGGACATTGGCCTTTACACAGGGTCGCCTGATAAACGTATGCGCGAATTCTGCTCTTACGGAAAAGTCGAATGGCTAAAAGCAAACGCGTGCAGCCAATCGACTTGCGAGTTTTCCGTGAAAACAGAATTTTCGTATTTCGTCTTTCGACTAAATTCAAAAATCGAGCACCAGGCATTCCTGCCTGTCTGTCTGCTGCTGGAAGGCATCCGACGTAATTGATGATCCTTCGGCGAAACAGCAAGTCGTCAACTAACTCTGGGGAGCAACGCCTTGCCGAACGCGCTCGCACCGGCTAATATATGCGTGAACTTGTACTCGCTGCAGAGCTTGAGTACAAGCGGCGTCAGCGACTCCGCGGTGAATCCCTTGAACGCGTCGCTGTCCGCGAGGAAAACCTTGGACACGCCCTTGGCCTTGCACGCGTTCTGCGCGACCGCCTCGCACTTGGTGCCGGCCACCAGCACAGTAACATCGCCGCCTATCTTCGTGGCGGCTGTCAACGTGTTGCACGTGAGCGGCAGTAGATTCTCGTTGTTGTGCTCCGCGATGACTAGAGTGGACTCGTAGCGCGCCAGCGAACCGAACTGAAAACAAGTGACTGTATGAGACATTCGAATTACACCGCGAAGAGACTACAATCGAGAATTTCGTGAGAGTCAGGCCCGGTCTAACTGTGCACGTTGAGCCTTTTCCTTTCTGGATGGAAGCAAAAGAACCGACATGTAGTTCTGACTTCTGACCAACAACTAATAACTCGTAGACCGGGCCTTAGGCTGATGGCAGAGAACGATCCGTAAACGCTTAAGACCGTCTTGCTCGTGGACGTAAGATAAGGCAGAGAAACTTAACAAGTATACACTTTTACGACTTCAGTTTTCCTCTGCCATCAGCCTTGGGGTCCGAGCAGAATGGCTGTCTTGTACTCTTAAGACATAAGCTGTGCGTTACCTCGAGACAAAGGTTTAAAACATAAAACATTGTCTTAAGAGTACAAGATAGCTATTCTGCTCAGATCCTTTCCAGATAGCACGCATAGCTCTATGAATATTCTTCTGGAGTGCAAATATTCTTAATTTCAGAATATTCCAATCAAATATTCTATAAATGTATATAGATTATTGCAATTAGAAATCGTATATTCATAACAAAGAAGAACGTTTTTAGAACATTCGTCGAGAATGTCTTTGGAACATTAGTTTAGAATAACTTTTTAAACATTCATCGAGTTTATGTGTTGCACATTGTTCATTGTGTAATACACTTATCTTATGCAAAAGGCAGCGAGATCTGTGGTCATACCATGTATAACCCAGCAAACGCCAAAGTAACAATTACATAACATCAATGCAAATGTAATATAATAGGCGTGCGTGTAGTATTCATCGCGTCTCAAAGCGACATCGACTCGTATCTTACTACGGAATCGTAAACACGTTGCGACAATCTCTTTGCTCGTTAGAAGACAATCCGTTTGCGATACAGCTGGTCGGACTTTAAACGGGAGTAAACGACGACTCGTGTCCATTTCTGCCGATGTAGATTAACTTAATCTCTTTTACCAAGTTCTAAGAACTGGAGAAAGACACAAAGTTGAGCCGAAGAAGACGTATTCGAGAGGAGAATATAAATAGGCGCTAAGATTCAGCTTGACCGTTGAATGCGTTTCTCTTGTGTTAAATTAAACCAAAATGATCAAAGTGAATCCCCAGCGGCAGAAATGGGCATGGCCCGTGCTTCTCGCAGAGGACAGATCGAAAATGCAGCTGGCATTGAAATTGGAGGTCACCGTCGTCGGTCGCGAGGTATACACGGGTCATATGGTTCGAAGAAACGGATGAAAATCGTGACGAATTCGTGGGGAATTGACGCTCACCTTGCTGGTGGCCCGTAACGTCCTCACGCAGGTGGAGAACATCGTTGCGGAGATCCGTGTCCTTTCCTGTCGCCCGTAACGTTGGACTGTAAAAATACAGCGCTCCCTAATCAGTGACGATAAGGTCCAAAGTCCTGCCGGGTTATAGCAGGAGTGCCGTTGGCAGGCGCGTCAATTGCACGCAGATCGCATGTGATGGAGCGTGTCGTCGCGTATTAAGAGAGCGCGCGAGGCATATATATTTTTTCAAAGGTCATGTTTGATCGTTTCTATTTTTTAGATTAATATCTCTTGTATAAAAAAAAATGCTTGCATAAAAAAAATAGAACTGAATTTTTATAACTTTTCATCAATCGTTCAGCAGGCACAACTGTTGAGCGAGCGCTCAATGGTTTCTTAACATGATTGGCTGGATCTAAAAGTATTAGGGCAACTTTCACCAAGCTTCGGTTAAAGGTACTATTTCATGTAGCGTCAAAGCGCTGGATCACTGGATGCAGTTGAGCGGCTTCTCCCACTCTGTCTCCCTCGATCGACGCGCACCCATTATACGCATAAAATTACCGTCTCGTCGTTTTGTCGCTGAGGTTCGAAGTGATTCAACTTCAGCGAAAAATAGCCGTGTTTAAATCGTCTTAATATTGGAGAGGAAAGCTCGTTTTTTTTTGTAAAGACAAATCAACAATAATACGAGCAATATAAGTGCTACCTTTTTTTAAGAAATAGAATCCGAAGAACGGATCTAATCTTCCCGATATCTTCGATTACAGGGAGTAAGAAGTCGAATTATCGCAAAGTTACGGCGATGATCAAAAAGTTTAGAAAAAGGCGTCTATTATATTTTTACATGTACAATATACTATATACATCGTTTTACATCTACTATGTACATCTTTTTACATCTACTATATACATCTTTTTACATCTATTATCTACTATGTACATCTATTATACTATATACACTATATACATCTATAAATCTTTTTACATGAAGAATTCTCCCGAGATGCCCGAGCTACGAAGACGCTCAGCGAAAAGTTCGGTACTTCGTCAGTTTTATCAGGGCACAAGAAAACATTGCGGACACCGCGGACACCCAAGCTCGACCAGACGTTGAAAAGAGACACGAACTATACTCTCAAAGCCGGCGGAGTTTTTAGTCCCCGCAGGAAGGTTAAATTGATTTTGTCCCTCGACGTACCAACGTCGCGGAAGTCTCCCACTTTGCCAAGCGAGAAAGGTGACTTCTGTTACGCGAAAGATAGCGAGAGACGCGATACGATGAGCAGCACGACTTCCAAGGGGGAGCTCAATTTGAAATCCGAGTTGACAAAACTTTTACGCTCATTGCCAGATGAGAAACCGTTGAAGGAGGCCACCACGCAACGGCACTTTCTGAGACGCCTGTCCGCAAGTTGTCAGGACTCGCCCCAGAGTCTTTACGGAGAGATTGTTAACCATAATTGAGGAGTCGGTATTAATCAACGATTCTGGAGAGATCAGTACCCGCAGATTTAACGAGAAACCGCAGAAAACGCACAAGTTTATAGAGGACGAGACCGTTCCCGAGTGGCCCCCAGTCTCCCGGTATGTCGGCGTCGATTTCTGGTACCAGGAGAAGGACCCTAGAACACAGAGCTAATTCTTCGCGGAGATCCCGCACTCACGGGACTCCCGATATAGGTCTGGTGACGCCCGTTTCTCCCCGACGCGACGTTAAAAGCCCCAACAAGATACGTCGGCGTATGTCCAGGAACAGTTACACCCTGGGAAATTTCAACGATAACACGTTTGAAAATTTGGAAGCGCATTGCGAGAAATTGTTTCCCGACGAGAACGAGACTTCGTCAGCGAGCGACAAGATTCAGTCGGAGTCTCCCCTGAGACATATGGATAACATTAGGCATGCGTGCGAAAGTGGCCTCCTTGGACAACTCAATTAATATTTAGAAGAGATCAGGAAGGCTGGGACATGTGCCTCGAATTTCGCGAGTCAACATGTTCAGACACCTGAGACGCAAGATCGGCAACGCGGACCGGCGTCGTGTGAGAACATTGATTAAAGCTTAATTCTTTTATGTATTAACCGATTTATTGATCATTCTGGCCAGGTGAGGTTGAAATTTAATTCTTTTATTAAAACGTTTCGAAAAACATCTATTAACATTATAGATTCCATTCTTTGTAACATATCCCTCATCTCCGACCAGTGAACTCTATGCATACTGGAATGAGTGATCTATTGTTCTGGCTGTTGCCGAGAGAGAGGTGCGTTTGGGTGAATCCTTGTCTCCTTCTAGTACTACCTGATTGGATAGTCGCATATAAATGACGAGAAGAAGGGCGTCACTTATATGCGATTATCCAATCAGGTAGTACTAGAAGGAGACAAGGATTCACCCAACGCACCTCTCTCTCGGCAACAGCCAGAACTATATCACTCATTCCAGTATGTATAGAGTTCACTGTCTCCGACAGTCAGGTCACATTAAACATATCTATACATCTATTAATCGCGCTCAGTCCTGCGAAAGACGCAGCAAAGTATACATAGTGACTTAGCGATAAAAAAAAAAAAGGAAACAATTGCTGGCACGGAAGAATAATTTGAATTGCACTCTTAATCAAACTTAATCTCTTTATAAAAACATTTCATAAAACATGTATTAACATTCATTATAGATTTCATTCTTTGCAATTCTTTGTTCCTGTTAGCTTACGAACGCAGACCGAAGTAGATTTCTAATGCATTGCAGTTCTAATAAATTATATTTATATGTAATATGTCATCTCCGACAGTCGCATTAAACATATTTATATATTTATTAATCTTTTTACATGAAGAACGCTCTCAGTCCTGCAGAAAAGTATATATAGTGACTTCGCGATAAAAAAAAAAGTATGAAACAATTGCTAGCACGAAAGAATAATTTGAATTGCACTTTTAATCAAACTTACAAACATGTATTAACATTCATTATAGATTTCATCCTTTGCAATTCTTTGTTCCTGTTAGCTTACGAAATAACGCAGACCGAAGCAGATTTCTAATGCATTGCAGTTCTAATAAATTATATTATATTTATATCTTTAGCCGCGTTGCTCACCTCTCTCGGTCGTATCGGAGATCGGAACTTCTTTCCTGGACTGGGCATAGTCCGCTTCGTTCTAGGCGTCAGTTTGTCGTGCGTTTTGGGTCGTTGATTTTGTTTTCTGCTCCGTGCCCTTTATATACTGGGCCACGGGCGATATCACGTGATCGTAGTTTCCCATTTGCTGATAAATTTTCTTAGCGTGCGGATTGATGTTCGATTCCTGCTTATTCTGCTTCGGCATCAAATTGGGAAAATAGATACGCTTCGGCTTACAACCCTTGTTAACGGACTGCTTTCCAGGCGTCACGAATAGTCTTGGCTTCGAAACGACAGTTTTGTTAGCAGAAAGTTTTGCCGACGAAGGGCTCGTCTTTCTCGGTGACAGCTTGGGTGTCCGCGGTGTCCGCAATGTTTTCTTGTGCCCTGATAAAACTGACGAAGTACCCAACTTTTCGCCGAGCGTCTTCGTAGCTCCGGCATCTCGAGAGGTCGACCTTAATCGGTGAAGTTGATTGAGTAAGGGTTTGTATTCTTCCAAGTAATCCTGATAGTTCTTCACGCACATTAGAACCTTCATAAACTTCTCGTCGCTCGTGGTCATAGTCGGCGAGGCTTCGGTGACTCTGATTTCCGGATACTTTTGTTCCGACGCTGCCGTCGACTCCAAATTCGCATCGATTTCTATCAATACCTTCGCCGTGTCGAGGCACCTCTGTCGTTTCCTCGCAATCTCGTACATGAGCGTACTCTCCAAATCGTCCAGTTGTTCGGCCGTCTTGTAGCGCCTACCACATTCCGTCCGCCGCTTAAACGTGCTGGAGACCTTCCTCGAACATTTTATGTTCTCACACGACGCCGGTCCGCGTTGCCGATCTTGCGCCTCAGGTGTCTGAACATTCTGACTCGCGAAATTCGAGGCACATGTCCCAGCCTTCCTAATCTCTTCGTAAATATTAATCGAGCTGTCCAAGGAGGCCATCTGACTTTCGCACGCACGCCTAAAGTTATCCATTTGTCTCGGGGGAGACTCCGACTGAATCTTATCGCTCGCTGACGAAGTCTTGTTCTCGTAGGGAAAGAATTTCTGGCAATACGCTTCCAAATTTTCAAACGTAGTCGTGTTATCGTTGAAATCTCTCGGGCGGCAACTGTTCCTGGACCTACGCCGACGTATCTTGTTCGGACTTTTAACGTCGCGTCGGGTAGAAACGGGCGTCACCAGACCTAAATCGGGAGTCCCGTGAGTGCGGGATCTCCGCGAAGAATCAGCTCTGTGTTCTTGGCTCTTTCTCTTTGTACCAGAAATCGGCGTCGGTGTCGACGTACCGGGAGACTGGGGCCACTCGGGAACGGTCTCGTCCTCTATAAACTTGTGCATTTTTTGCAGTTTCTCGTTAAATCTGCGCATACTGACCTCTCCAGAATCGTCGATTAATACAGACTCCTCAATTATAGTTAGCAATCTCTCCGTAAAGACTCTGGGCGAGTCCTGACAATTTGCGGACAGGCGTCTCAGAAAATGCCGCTGCGTGGTGGCCTCCTTCAACGGTTTCTCATCTGGCAATGAGCGTAAAAGTTTTACCAATTCGGATTTCAAGTTGAGCGCCCCCTTGGAAGTCGTGCTGCTCATCGTATCGCGTCTCTCGCTATCTTTCGCGTAACAGAAGTCACCTTTCTCGCTTGGCAAAGTGGGCGATTTCCGCGACGTTGGTACGTCGAAGGAAAAAATTAATTTAACCGTCCTGCTGGGACTGAAAAGCTCGCCGGCTTTGAGATTATAGTTCGTGTCTCTATTCAACATCTGGTCGAGCGTAGTGTAGCTCTTGGATCTCGTGAATTCTCGATTGAGCAAAGCCTGGCGTCTCAACGAATCTGCCGACATGGAACGGCGAAGGCTATTACAATTGTGTCGTCCCACGGTCGGGTCCCTGCTTAAACGGCGATGAACTCTCTCGCCGATCACGGTCTTGGATAGCGTGGCGCTTAACTGTTCTTCAAGAGTGTCTTCCTTAAGCTGTTCGTTATCAAACAGATTTATACATTTGTTTAAATCAAATTTGTGCGACGTATACGACGTACTATCGTCCGACATGTTCCACATATCGCTCCGCTGAGGCTGCCTGTTATCGTGTGCGGTATTACAGTTCTTAGCAATATCGCACGAGTCGGATAGCGAATGGTATTGCTGGCTGACTAAGCTACCTGCTAGAATAACAGATTCGCGAGATTTGGTATGCTTTGACTGGCTGTGTAAGTCACCTCTGTGTTGTTTACTTCTTATATCGTATGATGTGTTGTCCGAGGACACTCGAGACATTGTCGAACTTGATTCGTCGTCGCTTACCGTTTGACCTGTAAAAGGACATGTACATAAACCGTACGTTCGAGTTGAAATCATAAAATGTAGGGTCAAGATTTAACATTGTATAAAATGTTATACAATGTTAAATCTTGACCCATGATTTAATTACTTGACAACATGATTTAATTACATTTAAATGAGCATTTTGCTGAAAAGTTTTACGCAGTACATGCACCCTAGTAAGGACTGTGTCCACGTTGCTAGAACTTGGACCAAGTTCTAGCATCGTGGACGCCAGGCCTTTAGAGACCCCGTAATCACAGACTGGCCGTAAGAGTTCGTCGAATGCCTGCGAGTGAGAGAGAAACCTAGGCTATCTCGCTCTTCTACGATCGTTACGATCTCTCACTCGCAGGAATTTGACGAACTCTTGTAGCAAGTCTCTGACTACAGGGTCTCTACACCCTATATATTATATATGTGTATATACATAATACATAGACCGCAGACCACTTGATGCTTCCAGGCATTCGTCTCCTTGCTTTTAAGAAGGTGAAGAACGCTTAAAGCATTTGTAGCATCAAGCTGGCCGGAAAAATTAATAAGCAGTCGTGTATTAATGTATTTGTGGCGAGCGTGGCTTAATAAACAAATGACCGAGAAAATCAGAGTTCAAATCCCCATGAATACTGCTGGTTTCATCGAATGCTATCCCCCCCCCCCCTCTCTCTCTCACTCTCTCTCTCTCTCTCTCCGAGAGAAGAAGCAACTACCGAGAGTATCCTGCCACACATATCCGAAAAGGGGGTTTGGCGAGTAAAAACTCACTGTCGCAAATAGACACAATGAGCCTCGGGCGGGGGCAATTCGCGAATTTGCGAAAAAGATTAATATATTTAGAACTGTACTGTTATAAATTCCGACTGGGCAGAGGAAAAATACTGAGAATACTTACGAAAGCTTGTTAAAGAGGCTGTGAAATCATGAGCGCGTCTTCGCTGATTGCTCATTTTTATTTCTGGGAAGGGACAATTGTCACGTAACGAAGTTAATAATGTGAGAATAAAGCGCTACGTCGATCCACCCGCGGAGACTCAGGCGAACACGATGCTTGCAACGGACAAATGAAGCGTACGCCGAACCGGTAACCGGTTTTTAAACGGTTGAACCAGTGCTGCCAGATTCCCCCTCCACGAGCTTAGGCCGCGCATGTGCCACGCATGGTATATCAGTTACGTATATTATGGGCGCACAGTTTTGGCCTAATACAAAATTTATGTTTAATTATATATAAATGTGTCTGTAAACAATTATTTTAATGTCCTACTCTTCTTTATTTTAAAGAGAGAAAGAGAGAGAGAGAGTGTGTGTGTGTATGTGTGTACACGCGCGCGCTTACTTATGTCCACAGGGGCTTGTGTGTTTCTAATACGTTACTGCATTTAACGTCTGAAGCGCATGCGTCGGCACATGTGGGGTAGCCCGGCCAATTCTGGTGGCACCGCCGGCACCGGCTTCGGTGCCTTCGGTTGCAATCTTGCATGTTACTAGACCGGTTGGGTTAACCGGAGCCTGGTGCGCCGAGGCTCATTTGTGACGCATTTATCATTGTAAGTAATTGTGAATTAGCGTACACGACGTCGAATATCGCGCGGCGATCTCTCGCGAATTGATCATGGTAAGTTTTAACGCAACAAGATTCTCGCGACAGCGGGACACGGCGTTCCCCAGCGGGTAACGTCCGGATTTTTGTCGTGCACAAAACCGAGCGTGTTTTCTATTTCAGCTGTTCTACTCCTTCTTCAAATCCTTGATCGGAAAGGACGTGGTGGTCGAGTTAAAAAATGATCTCAGGTGAGTTATTACATTGGTTGCTTCCTTTCTTGACACAAACCGACACACGCGTCGTTTTCCATTTAGAATTTAAGTTAGACTCAATCCACGCTTTACGACTCTGCTCGGGTGAGATTCTATCTCGATAAAATCTTGTTTCGATTTGTTAACTTGCGTCGATTTGTGTCTCCTAAAAGGAAGCCATAACCACGTGTTTTTCTTTTTAATGAAGCTCTCGAGGCTGACACTACAACGTGATACTTTGTTTCAGTATCTGCGGCACGTTATATTCCGTCGATCAGTATCTAAACATAAAACTGGCCGACATTAGCGTTACTGACTCGGAGAAGTATCCTCATATGGTACGTTAACTGCCATTGACGCCCTGTTGTGCAGATTGTTGGTTAGCGATGACAGTTTTGCGGCATAGACTGTGGTTAAGCTGCCGCTACAAATGTTTCCAAGCGTATCGCTCCTCCTTGTGTCTTTATTGAAAGAAAACGGAGAATGGATACTTCTAGCTCTGTGGAATAGCTGCAAGTTGATTGGCTACACATTTCTCGAAACTAGAACCTGGACCAAGTTCCAGCATCGTGGACACAGGTCTTAACAAGTGCTTCAAAGTGTCCTCTTTCCGTTTTCTTTTAATGAAGACAGGAAGGGTAGTGAAACATTTGTAGCGGTAGCTTTGCGGAATAGCTGCAAGTTGATTGGCTACACATTTCTCGAAACTAGAACTTGGACCAAGTTCGAGCATCGTGGACACAGGCCTTAACAGCTTCATCGCAGCCTTAATTACTAGGATTAATTTGCGGTCAAGTATAATTAAGCAAGTTGTACATTGTTTGCAGTTGTCGGTGAAGAATTGCTTTATCCGTGGATCCGTGGTGCGATACGTACAGCTCCCAGTGGACGAAGTGGACATCCATCTCTTGACCGAGGCGGCGCGGAGGGAAGCGATGACTGCTCAAGCAAGATAGCTCCTAGTTTTACTAAACGTACTGCTTATATTAAGAATCCGCTTCCTCCCTTTGGTCATAACATACGTTTCTTATTTACGATCATAGAAATAATATATGGAATCGTTTCACGTAAGTTTCATGCTTTATTCATACAAGATTTTTTTTTTTACAAATGTGGATAATGTAACATTCTTCTCTCTCTATATATATTTTTTTTATTCAGTTAAAGTGAAATTTTTTTGTAACAAAATAGGTGTCTCACATTTATTCGTGGGGTTTTCTTTGTTAGACTTGCTTAGACTTTATCTTCAAGTAAGTATCAACGTGATGTAAAAAAAAACTAATACAACATCTACTTTGTTCATCCGTTACGCGCGCTCACTTCCAGTCCGACAGCGTCTTATCGTACCAGATGTATTTTCCTTTTATCTCGGTATTCTTCGGCAACAGCGCGCAGTAAACAGGACCGATAGCCCCTTCGTCTGGTGTCAAGGGTCCCGTGTGGCTAGTCATATCGGTATCTACGTAACCAGGATGAACCGCGTTCACTGCAATGTCTTCTCGGGGATCCGCATTGAACATGGCTTGATGAACACCGGCTAGAGCGGAAACGCCGATCTTGCTCGCCACATACGCTGAATTTGACCAACCGGCTTGTAAATGCGTTCCAGCTTTCGCGGCGCTGAAAATAAAATACGAGTATGAATACCGCAGGAACCTTTCGAGTTAATGGGTGATCGATGTTGGGACGACTCGTGGCTCTGCGTAAGCACGGACGATTAATAGTGGTCGGTGGCGTCCACAGGGGGAGAGCAAGAGGAATTAGAAAAAAAATTAAACATTTGCTCTTCCTTTGATCAAGAGAAGAGATTTATATACCAAAGAGCGTATAAATTTGAATGTATCTTAATCTTGAAAGGTTGAACCGTGGAAAAGATCCTGTGGACGCCCTTGGTAATGGAAGGGTCGACCCAGAATCGACTCCGACCCTCATTCCGCACATTTAAAAGTGCTAAAACGACGCCCGAGTCAATTTTGTCTCCGTTGTAAAAGCTGACGAAGCTTACTCGACAAATTCACGCATGATCTTGTCCAATTCCGTCTCGGTCAGATTCGCATCGGCCAACTTCTGTTTCAACGCCTCGCCAGTAATTTTGCACAGACGCCCGGCGCTGCTGGAGACATGAACCACCCGGGCGTGCGGTCTGAGTAACGGATAGAGAGCAGTGCACACCCTGCGCAAGCTGAAGTAGTTTACTCGTATCGTTTCTTCCGCCTGGACCGCGAAAGGTTCCGTAGCAGCGGTCTGTAAGGAGTAAACGTCTCAGTATACCGCTAAAAACATATTTTTATCTCAACAAAGTTCTAGGCAACATGTTACTTTTGTTTAAAGTCGAATTGTTCCGTAAAAATAAAGGCCCGTATTCTAGGGGACAATTCACTATCTTACTATATAATGAAAATGCTAAAAGTGAGCGGCTTGTCTCTTACTAAGGGGACTAGAAAGAGATAAAGCTATTCACTTTTCGCATTTTTACTATAACGTAAGATACAGAATTGACCCCCTGAACCCTCTTTTATCAATAAAAGCGCCTCTAAAAGTGATTAATAGGCCTTCTGGTTGGCTATAAGCCACTTTTACAGGCGCTTTAACGCTAAAAGAGGATTCGGAGTACTGGTCACAGTCTCGTTTGGAAAATGCTATATAAAGAACTTGAAATACATATTTGTCAAATATTACATCAACAATGCATCTCTAACTGTTAGCTGCTAAATTAATGTGTCTACAAGTACTTTAAACGCTATGGCGGCGTTGTTAACCAGCACGTCGAGGCCGCCGTACTTGGTCTGCAAGTAATCCCGGAATGTATTGACACTGTTGTCATCGGTGACGTCCAGTTGATGGAACTTTGGACTCAAGCCCTGCTCCTCCAGCTGACTGACGGCGTTCAAGCCGCGGGTGGTGTCGCGAGCCGTCAAGTAGACGGTCCCGTCGTACTGTTGACAGAGGGCTTTGACAGTGGCGAAGCCGATACCCTTGTTTCCACCAGTCACCTGCGAACAGAAGCGTCACTTTGCCAATTAAGATAAGACCCAAGTATGTTCTTTGCGGCTGCATTGCGTAACACCGTCGCGGTCTGTCCAGACAAACTTGCATAGCGCATAGACGTATGCACAAGGAATCCGATTGGTCTACAAGTGCACGCATAAGGTGATAGACCAATCAATGTTTTATGCATAAGCTTGTGCAACTGTGCAAGCTTGTCTGAATAGACCCTAGAGGCCTGTTTTCTGTCCTTACACTGGTGAACTAGTGCAATAAATTGGAGTAAGACAGGCATACTTTTTCTCATTCTAGCTTACTGTACTAGTTCACCAGTGCAGAAACAGAAAACAAACCTTAGATTTCCTTTTGCGTGCGCAAAAGGTTTCTGGTTCAATCGGATTCCTTATGCATGTCTTTTGTGCTATGCAAATTTGTCTGGATAGACCCTCACACTTGAAATGAAATAGGTGGGGTCTGTCCAGACGAACTTGCAGTCGCGTAAGGGCCTGAGCAGAATGGCTGTTTCGTACTCGTAAAACGTAAGACAGTTATTGTGCGTTATACTTCGAGACAAAGGCTTAAGACATAAAACATGGTCTTAAGGCTGTCTTAAAGGTATAAGATAGCCATTCCGCTCAGGTTCTAAGCATACGCATAAAAGGATTGACTGATCTATCTCCTTCTGCATACGTTTATGCGCTACGCAAGTTTGTCTGGTTAGACCCGCGTGCATTAAACACCGGGGAGAAAAAAAAGGATAAAAAGTACCCACAGTCAAACTACAAGGGACAAAAGTTACAGGCCCGTTTTTTGTAGCTAAATTTCGTCCCTGCGTGTCTTTCCGACGTTTAATTCCATTATACCTACCTATTCAATAATTTTTCAAGTGCAGAAAGCAACGTAACTAGGAAAAGAGGCTACGATCAGTTTTCTGGAAAAGCTAATCGACAATAGGGAAACGTTTTTTCTTTGCTGTTACACTTCAAAATTTTGCGCAATTACGTACCACAGCGACGCGCCCCGTCATCTTGTGCAATACCGCGACCACTTGTATGACTTGTATCCTGCTTCTCACCACGCCTATCTATTTATACAGCGGTACGGCCTTCAAACCGTGATGATCAAGCGCAAATGTCGCACAGATAAGAACGTATCGCGCTGGTGTAATAAGAAAAAGGGAGAAAACGAAGTAGTTGAACGCATTCTACGCAGCGTCTGTTCTTTTCCAGCTGAACTAGCTGCACTAGTTCAGGGTTCATCTCCTTCCCTCCGCATTGAAAAGAGGAAGATAAACTCTGAACTGCGTGCGGACGGTTCTGATATAAAGAACAGTCCGAGAAGCTGCTTTGCATCTGCGTAGAATTCGCGAATCTGATTGGCGTATTCTCTCGGATTCGCGAATTCTACGGCAGTTGCAAAGCAGCTGATTCTCGACGCGGCCAATAGGGGGGACGTTCAGGAACGCCGATTGGACGAGCGATGCTTAAAGTCCGTATCAGACTACGAATTGGGATTGGGTTGATTGAAGTTTGACCAATCAGAGTAAAAGTTACTGAACTTGAGATTAATTGGCAAACTTTACTGTGATTGGTTAAATTTCAATCTAATCCCAATCCCAATCCGTAGTCTGATACGGGCTTTAAGCATTGCAAATCGCGGATCGGATTGAGATTGCGGATCACGGATCGCAATTCAACTAATCGGGTTTAAAGCCCGTGTCCCACTACGTATTGCGGACGCGGATTGGATTGAAATTTAACCAATCACAGTAAAGTTTACTAATCTTAAGTTTAGTAACTTTTACTCTGATTGGTCAAATTTCAATCTAATCCGCGTCCGCAATACGTAGTGGGACACGGGCTTAAGGCCGCCTCGTCAGATTGGCTGAAATGTGATCCGCGATCCGCAATTTCAATCCGATCCGCGATCCGCAATACGTAGTGTGACACGGGGTTTACTGTGATTGGTTAAATTTCAATCTAATCCCAATTCCAATCCGTAATCTGATACGGGCTTAAAGCCGAGTGCTCGGGCTCGATCGAGATCCTTTCAGCCGTGATTTTGCGGTTATGTAGCGCACCGCAAGAGATCGACCAATCGCTGACAAATAATAGAAGAACGCTCGACTGTCATTGGCCGATTTCTCGCGTTGCGGCCTGGCGTCGTGCGTTTGCGTCCATTGTAGAAGAAGCTTTAGGAGGCTGCAGTAGACGCAGACCGCGCGAGAGTCGCAAGCGCGTGTGTAAAATATTATGTAGATGGTCATTCGATAGATCGCTATGGTCTCCTCCCTAGCGCTATGGCTTGTGTTCACGATGCTAGTTCCGAGAGATGTGTAGCCAATCAACTTGCAGCTATTCCGTAAAGGCCAATGTTCACGATGCTAGAGCTAGGTCCAAGTTCTAG